TAAATTAATAATTAAATTAATTTATAATTTTCTGATATAAAAAATAGTCTGATTTACTAAGATCTATTATTAAAATAATATAATAATTAAAGTCTGAAATAAATATAATAACTGATTTAATAAAATAATTAAGTTTCTTAGATAAATCTAGATTTATATATTCTCAGATATTTTTATTAATAATAAATAATTAAATTTAATTAATTCAAAGAAATTAATTAGATTAATTATTAAGAATAATAAAAACTTTCTTAAATTACTAATTTTAAGATATAATAAAAAAATAATTAAAAAAATTTAAGAATTTAAATAAATCTTATTTTTTATTTAAAAATTTTATAATTTTCTATATAAATTTTAAGTCAGAGATAAAATAAAAATAAGAGAAATAAAAAAATATAAAAAATTTTAGAGATATTAATAAAAAATTAATATAAAAATATAATTAGATTTATAATTAAGAACTTTTCTTAAAAAATAAGAACTTTTTTTAAAAAGATTTTATTAAACTTTTACTTTCTTATATAAATTAGATATAAAAGTAAGATAAAAGTAAAAGAAAAAAAAAAAAATAAAAAATAAAAAAAATTAAAAATCAGATAATTAAGTAAAAACTTTTCTCTAATTTTTTAAAAAGACTTTATTAAACTCTTATTTTCTTATATAAATTAAGTATAAAAGTAAGATAAAAATAAGATAAAGATAAAAGAAAAATAAGAGAAAGATAAAAAAAATAATAAAAAAAATCAAAGATTAAATAAATAAAAAAGAGACTAAAAGCTAATTCAACTTAATTAAAACTTATTAAAAAATTAATTAAAAATTAAAAGATCTTTTTATTTATATTTATAGCCAATTAACTATTAAAAATATATAAAAATATATAAAAATATATAAAATTATATAAAAATTATATAAAAATTATATAAATAGAACAGAGCCAAGAATAATAAAATTAGTAATTAAATAAAGACTAGAATAATTAATAAAAATAAGATCTCTTATTCTACTATAAGATAAATAGAACTTAGAATTATTAGTCTTTTAACTGATAGTCTAAAACAGCTAACTGGCCTAAGGCCGCAAACTGATGAGCCTTAGGCAGCGAACTGGCGAGTCTGCCCATATTATTGACACTTCTTTTTTTAGAATATCTATTTTCTTTCTAATTTATTAATTAAGTAATCTAAATAATTAAAAAAATTATTATAAATATTATAAATTTTATAAATAATAGGCCCACTGTTCTTAAAAAAATAAAAAATAAAAAAAAAAGATATAGAAACTTAAGAAAATATTTTATTTATTTTTATTTAATTATAATAAAATAAAGATAATTAATATTATTATATTTATAATACTAAATAAAACTTTTAATTACTTGATAGAGATTAAATATTTAATAAATTATAAAATAAATTAAGTTTTAGCGGGTTTTATAATTAAGAAAAAGATAATAAATTAAGCTAGATTTAAATTATTAAATAAGTAAAAATTTCTTATAATATTAAAAACTTATATTTATAAATTATATAATCTTCTGAATTTATAATTAAGAATTAATATAATAAATTAATTAATAAAAAACTTTTAGAAACTTTTTATAAAAAAAGATTTTATATTAATTTTTTATAGATAGCTTTTAGAATATATTTTTTTAAAAATTTTTAAAATATTAAAAAAAACTTTAAAATTTCTATTATTATTTTTTTATATATATTTAATAATATTATTTAAGATTTTAATTTAAAGTTTCTATAGAAGAGTATTAATTATAAACTAAATTATATAAATAAAATAGAAAATATAATACTAATTTTAAATAATTTTTAAAAAATTAGAATTAATTAGAATATTATAAAATTAAATACTTTAATTAAGTTAAGTTTAAAGTTTAGCTGAGATTATACTAAATATTATATTATTATTACTAATATTATTAGTTATTATATCTAATAATTAATAGATAAGATTATATTTATATAAGATTAATAGAATAATTATAGCTAGATTCTTATTAATATAAGATTTAGATATTAGTTAAAAGTCTAGTAAAATCTTATAATAGTTTATATCTTTTATTAAAAAATATTTATTTAATTAAATTAAGAAATATTTTCTAATTAGAGCTAATTCAGTAGTCTATTATAATTAATATTTATTTAATATTTAGAAACTTTAATAGCAGCTATATATATATTTCTTTAGATAATTTTATAAAATATTTTTCAATTTATATTTAATTAAAAAAACTTAATTTTTAGCAGAAAGATAAAGCAGTAAGATTAATTATTTATTTAAATTAAATATATTTAATAGTTTAAAATAATAGATAATAAATAATTATAAAATATAGAACTTAATTCTGAAAATTCTGTTTATTATAAATTATAAAAATCTAGAGAAAGATAATAATTAAAAAAGATTTATCTTAAAAAAATAAATAAATATCTATAATAGCTCTTTACTTAGTATCTGATTAATTATTTATTTAGATATAACTAATAATAATTTTTTTTTATAATTTTTATAAAGATAATAGCTTATAAAACTAGTTTATGAATTTTTAATTCTTAAATATTATAAAATATAAAGATATATAATATAGTAGATATAAGAGATTTTATTAAAAAATAATATATTTTTTTAAAAACTGTTTTATATTATTAATAATTTTTTTTAATTAAAATAAAATAGTGATTTTTTAGTTTATATATAATTTTTAAAAAAAATTATTTTTTATTATTAATTCTAAAAAATAAAGAGTTTTTTTTAAAAAATTAAATATAAGATAATCTTTTAATTTTTCGCGACATGTGTAATCTTAAGATTTAGAAAAAAAGAAAAGATCTAATTTAAGAAGCTTATCTTAGTTTAAATATTATTATAATTTATAAAAATCTAAGAAATAAAAAAAAAAGATTTAATAATATTTTCTAAAAATAAATTAGATAATTATAATTAACTTATAATTTTAAAGCTATTCTATAAATAATAAATATAAAAAAATAAAAATAGAAAACTCTATAAAGATAGTTTATTTTATTTTAAGATATAATTTTATATAAATATAATTTATTATATTTTAATATATAATTAAGATATTTATTATATTTTATTTATTTTAATAGATCTAGCAAGTAGAAATTTATATTTAAAATCTAAAATTATAAAATAGTCTTTTCTTTTAAATAAAACTGCTTAAGATATAATAAACTAGAATAAAAAATAAATATTTATAAAAAAAATTTATAAAAAATTTTTATAAAATTTTTTATAAATATTATAATATTATAGTACAGATCTAATATATTCTATTTATTTATTTTATTTATTTAATTTATTTAATTTATTTAATCTATTTTATCTTAATAATTTAATTATTTATAATCTTCTTAACTATCTATTAGTTTTTAATTTTATTAATAGCTCTTTAAGTTATATCTTATCTATAAATCTAAAAATAGTCTAATTTAAAAAAAATAATAAAATAAAAACAGTATATTTATTTCTAGTATTCTAATTAATAATTAATATATAATTTTTTAATATTTTATAATATAATTAAGATATATAGCTAAAATAAAGTAATAATTATATATTTTTATATATATTTTTTATTATAAAAATAATAATTTTATAAAAAGCTAAATTTTATTAATATAATTAGAATTTTCTTATTATTTCTAATAAATAATAATAAAAAAGATACTAATTTTTTTTTAATTATATTTTTTTAATTTAAAAAGCTTCTTTTTATATATTTTTAGATAATAATAAAGATAATTAGATTAATAATTATTTAATCTAAATATATCTTAACTGTACTAGAGTTTAAAAAAATATAATAAATAAATCTTAATATTAAGAATAATTAAAATAATTAATTATCTAGTTTTTAACTATACCGTGATTAGATATAAAAATTTTCTTAATCTAATTATAATTTAATGATTAAATATAAAAATTCTAATTAATCTGATCTGATCTGGCTGTTAGCCACTCTATACTAGAGCTTAAAAAAATATAGCAAATAGATCTTAATATTAAAAATAATTAAAATAATTAATTACCTGATTTTTAGCTATATTATAGTCAGATATAAAAATTTTCTTAATCTGATTATAATCTGGCGGTTAGATATAAAAATTCTAATTAACCTAATCTGACCTGGCTGTTAGCCACTCTAGTTCTTTAATCCCTGATTAATCTGGATCAGTCTATATATAATCTTATATATAACTTTATATATATCTGATTATTATCTGATTCTATATCTATATAGCCCAACTGCCTGCGCAGCAGTATTATAGAATCAGATCTTTATTATATTGTCATTCTAGACCTGACAACTCTGTACTCATTAAACGCCAGGCAGCTATTGATGCAGAGGGTGGCCAGACGAAGTCTTACACGGTGTGGTCCATGTGCATTGGAAGGACTGGGATTCTGGAAGACCCAATTGCACTGGATCTAATGGTCAGATGGGTGCCGACTGTCTTCACCCAGGGCATTGGCGTGGCACGTGGGATCGGCCAAGCATCCGATTTGGAGAAATGCGGGAGAGGCCCGACGCTCCCATTGGCCGAGCCGTCCTCCGAGAAGCTTAGCGGGCTTAGTCCGTGCCTGGTGGCTTGGCGGGAGGGGAATTGCACCGCAAACCGCCCGATGCCCAGAAGGCACGCGAGGAGAAATCACCGTTTTGATTGGCTCCAACTTGCTAGCCCGAGGCTTGACCACCGAGAAGCCTTCCAAGTGGAACCATCGACAATGCCCTGCTTCTTCCTCACTCGCTGCGACGAGACATGTCAGGAACGTGCAGGCTATCCGCCATCCTGACTGGTCTGAGTTGCCAGTGTATTCTGCCATGGTTGTATCGCGCGATATGCCTACTGCAGGCGACAGTCCATGATAAAAAGAAGCCACGGCCTGCCGTCCATTTCGAAAACCAGGCGCCCTCTCTACTACTCTTACCTCCAGAGCATTGAGCATTATCTCCAATGGCTTCCGTGGCTGCTCTTTTCGCCCTGGCCGGCCTGGCCGCTGGTGCTACCATCACCACCACCGAGCCCCCGCTTGCTGCCATCCAGAGAGCCCAGGCGACCACTGTGCCTCAGACCTGGACTTCCAACGTCACGGGTAAGGCCTTCGACCGTTTCTACCAGGTGTGGCTCGAGAACGTTGTAAGTATCACGCGATACCACGAGCGCACGGTCCAATCACTCATGTCGCGTAACAGGACTACAACAATGCTGCCAACGACACCAACCAGCAGTGGCTGGCCAGCAAGGGTATCACCCTGACCAACTACTACGGTGTTGGCCACACCTCGCAGCCCAACTACTGCGCTGCTGCTAGCGGTGACAACTACGGCATGGACAACGGTAAGATAGGAGACTTCCATCTATACGCCAAAGCTAATCATCTCGCAGACAACTTCCATGACATTCCTTCCAATGTCTCCACCGTGGCTGACCTGCTCAACCTGAAGGGCATCTCCTGGGGAGAGTACCAGCAGCACAACCCCTACCCCGGGTTCCAGGGGTACAACTACTCCAACCAGGTGACCTACGCCAATGACTACATGCGCAAGCACAACCCCTTGGTCCTTTTCGACACCATATCGGCCAACGACACCGCTCTGCGTCTGATCAAGAACTTCACCAGCTTCGACGATGATCTTAAGAACCACGAGCTCCCCCAGTGGGCCTTCATCACCCCTAGTACGTTTTTTCCTACTCATCCCCCATTCCTACCTATTCAACATACTCACCTCCATTAGACATGACCAACGACGCCCACGACACCAACATCACCTTCGGCTCCAAGTGGCTGCGCAGTTTCGTCGAGCCTCTCATGAACAACACATACTTCTGGGACAACACTCTGCTGCTGCTGACCTTCGACGAGACCGAGACCTACGGTGTTCCCGAGGCCGATATCTACAACGACCGCAATCGCGTGTTCAGCATTCTCCTGGGTGGTGCTGTCCCCAAGGAGCTGATCGGCACCAAGGACGAGACCGTCTACACCCACTACTCCACCCTGGCCTCGGTCCAGGCCAACTGGGGTCTTCCCTCCCTCGGCCGCTGGGACTGCGGAGCCAACCTGTTCAGCTTCGTTGCTGACACGGTCGGCTACACCAACTGGGATGTCGATGCCACCAACCTCTACATCAACCAGTCTCTCCCCGGTCCCCTCGAGCAGTGGGGCTACTCCAAGTACCGCGCCAACTGGCCCATCCCCACCACCAACGACACCTGCTCCGCCGGCAACGGTATCCTGCAGTCCGTCATCGACGCCTACAAGGGCCAGGCCCCGACCTACAACTACACCGCCCCCTTCCCCTACGATGCCGCCTACGGTCTGGATGTGAATATCCCCTACACCCGCAACGGCACCACCTACGTCTCCGGTGTCAACACCACCGGAACTGTTGGATATGACACCAACATCACCACCACCAGCAGCAACTCCTCTGCCTCTGCCTCGGCTTCCGCTGCTGCCAGCGCTGGCGCCGCCTCGGCCATGACCATCCCCGCTGCTGGCTCCGTGGTTGCCGCGTTCGCTGCTCTCGTGGCCTTCCTCTAAATGAACCGCCCCTGCTATGGCGGTTCCGTGATGGGTTGATTACCCACCTTAGTCATTCTCCTGTGGAGAAAAGTATTGATGTTTATACGTGTAATGTGTATCTAGCCCTCCTGCAAGCCATGAGTGATGTTGATGTTAGTTAACTGGATAATGACATGACTTGACCTTTTTTTTTTTTCATACCGCGTTGCTTGATGATCCTATGTGGCTATTGTTGCTGAAATGAATGAGTGAGTTTGATGCAGAGTAGACAGGCATGGGTGGGAGGGAAATTTTCAATATACTTCGAATTGGTGTATGGGTATGTATCTTTCTACATTCTTTTATTCTTTCCCCATCTTGTTTGACGGTGGTTGTTCTTTGCTCCCAGTTGACCGGGATAGCCTCATCTTGCGCCCTAACATGATACTCAACCGAGTCTGGGAAATTGTTCCAGAATGGACTGTCACTGAATTACCCACAAAAACCCGACAGAAAAAAAAAAAAAAAACCATCCATCTAATCAAGTCATTCACAGCAGGGTTTGATTACACGATTGGCTACCCTCTCCATATCATGTCACGTGATTTATGTCCCCTACATGGCGATCCCCTATTGCTGTCCCTCAAACCACCATTATTCTTCTCCGGACTGCTGACAAGAACTCTGGTGGGTACGGACTTGGAGGGATTTTGTTGCGTTGGATATAGCTCCAAACCAAGACCCGCTGCTCGCTTACCGATGACTCACTCCCATCACTAACTAACTACTTTCCTAACTCACAACATCAACACCACAGCCTCTACAATTGCCCGCTCACATCAGCCACTTCACAGCGCTCAAATCCAGCCAAGTCACGCCCACCCTCATCCCAGCGATGGACCCCCCATACACCCTCTACTACGCCCCCGGGACCGCCAGCTTGGCCGTGCACTGGCTGCTCATCGAATCCAACATCCCCTTCTCCGCCATCCCCGTCGACCTCGCGTCCGGCGCCCAACACACCGCGGCCTACCGCCAACTGAACCCGACCGGCCGGGTGCCCACCCTCGTGATCAACGCCAGCGGAGAAGCCCGCAGCGAGTCCAGCGCCCTCCTGATGCTGCTGGCCGAACGCCACCCCGACCGGGCTCTAATGCCGGCGGTAGATAGCCCCGACCGCGCCCTGTGGCTCGAAACCATGATCTACCTGGCCAACACCCTCCTCCCGGCCATGCGCGACTGGTTCTACGCGGCCACCGACGGATCGGCGGACGGGGCAGCGGCGGTGCGCGATCTGGCCAGACGACGGATCGAGGGCGCGTGGGATCGGCTGGATGGGCAGGTGCAAGGGGGTGGTTATCTGGTCGGGACGAGCCTCTCAACGGCGGATTTCCTGGCCGTGATGTTGATGCGCTGGGCGCGCGACATGCCCAGGCCGGCCACCAGTTGGCCCTCGCTGGGCCCCTATGCGCGGCAATTAACCGAATTGCCCTCCTTTCGGGAGGTCTGTCGACGCGAGGGACTAGCAGGTTGGCCACCAGTATCACCAATTACCACTGCCTGAACTGTGAAAGGAGTCGAGAGTCTGGGGGTGGGGCTGCGGATAGGATTGGCTTCCGTTTTTCGACACGACGTCCCGATCCGGGGGTGGACGATGTCATCGTGCAACATCGTGCCAGGGTTGCATTGCGCGGGTCGAGATAACGACCAGGCCGATCATTCGAGCAGGCCGAGATGCAGGGTTCTGCGTATCTATCGGGTTGTGAATCAAATGCCAATCTGCAGTCCTGCACTCCGTCGATCATGTCATTGACATCGACATCGGGGCTACGTGTGTCACCTGACGGCTGCCTGGCAAGATAAGCCCTTATTCCTCCACCATCCAGCCCATCATCCAACTCACTCATTCATTCATTCATTCATTCCATCCATTGCACACCTCCCCTCACCATGTCTCCCATGATTCCCAACTCGAGCCCCCCGCCCCCAGAGTCCCCCCTATCCAACTGGCTCCAGCGCAACCGCTTCAGCCATGACGACTTCCCCCTCGAGGACCTCTCCGCCGCCGTCCGCGAGCAGCACCTCCACATCACCGTCATCATCCCCGGCAAGGAAGTCGCCAGCACAGTCGGCGGCGTGATCCAACAAGCCGTGCAACCGCTCATCGACGCCCGCATCGTCCGCAACGTCTATGTCATCGACGCCGCATCCAAGGACGGCACCGCGACCGCCGCCACGTCCGCCGGGGCGCAAGTCCTCCAGCGCGCGGGCATCGCCCCCGAACTCGGCTGCAGCCAGGGCAAAGGCGACGCTCTCTGGCGCGGCCTCCTCGCGACGGACGGGGACATCGTCGCCTTCCTCGACGGCGACACCAAGGACCCCGTGCCGGCGCATCTCCTCGGCATCCTCGGCCCGCTGATCATGTTCGACCACATCCAGATGGTGCGATCGTGCTACGACCGGCCCTTCCAAACGCACACCGGCGACATCCTTCCGCACGAGGGCGGCCGAGTCACCGAGATCCTGGCCCGTCCGGTCCTCAACCTGCACTGGCCCGACCTGGCCGGCTTCCGCCAGCCGCTCGCCGGCGAATTCGCCGCGCGCCGCAGTCTCCTGAACCAGCTCTCCTTCCCCGTCGGCTACGGCGTCGAGATCGGCACCCTCATCGACGCATACCTCCTCGTCGGGCTACACGCCCTCGCCGAAGTCGACGTCGGGCAGCGCCAAAACGCACACAAAGCGCTCCGCGACCTCACCACCATGGCGTACACGGTGCTAGCCACAGCGGAGCAACGCATCTCCCCCAAGCGATCCTCGTCCGACCGCGCAATGTACCTCCCCTGGCTAGGCGAGTACCGCGACAACGCGCGCACCGAACGACCACCCCTCCGAGACTACCGTTCCGGACAGTTCATGTACCCGTCTCCGCCCTTCGTGGCCGTCGAGGGCGTGCGCATGTTCCGGGATATCGGGAGCGATGATGCGTCGCCGATGCGGAGCGGACTGGTCTTCCGCAGTGGGGATCCATCCAAGTTGACTCCTGCGGGTCTGCAGACGCTGCTGGATCTGGGCATCACGACGATCTTTGATCTGAGGAGTCGGATTGAGATGACGCAGCATTTGCATGGGAATGGGCATGCGACCCATGAGCCGTCGTGTTCGCTGCATGGGATGCATAGGGAGTGGGAGATTTATCCCTATCAGCTGGCCAAGGCGGGGATCAAGAGGGTCATTGCCCCTGTCTTCCCGGATGATGAATGGCTCCAGGAGAAGAGGGATGCCAGGTTGAAGCACTACTCGAATGCTGCCGAGGTGTGTCCGGCCCATCCCATCCCAACCAACCACTAACTAATAAACAAAAGGGCTACGCCTCCGCCTACCACCACACCCTCCTCTCCGGCGCCTCCCCCTTCCTCCCCATCCTCCAGCACCTCTCCGCCCCTCCCCCACCCCGATCCTGATCCACTGCACCGCCGGAAAAGACCGCACGGGGGTGCTCACCATGCTGATCCTGCTCCTGGCGGGCTGCGACGACGACACCATCGCGGACGAATACGCCCTCAATGATATCGATAGTACCCGGTCGTGGGGCATTCAGGCCACGCAGCGGTTGCTGCTGCAGCCCGGGTTGAGGGGCAATGTGGATGCCGTGGAGAATGTGGTGAGGGCGAAGAGGGAGTATATGCTTGCTACGTTGGAGAGATTTAAAGAGGCTTTTGGGGGGGTGGATGGTTATTTGAGGGGGACGGTGGGGTTGAGTAAGGGGGTGGTTGGGAGGATTAGAGGGAATGTGAGGGTGTGATGGATGTGATGGGTGCGTGGTCTGGGGTCTGGGGTCTGAGAGGTGGTAATGATGATGATGATGATGATAATAATGATGGTGGTCTAATCACGATGCTGTTACACAAAGAGCCTGAATACGAACTAGACTTCAAGAAAAGTCCGTGTTGGTTTCAATCATAATCACAATCACAAGATACTTGAACTGGAACACTCCGCCCCCACCCAGATAGTCGTGGTGGTGTAGACCTTTGACAGGACAGTCACAACATCGGTGTCGGATGGACTGGGGACCGGAGCGGAGCTGGATGCAGCTCGTGTAACAGGTTTAGAAGCCGGGGAAGAATGCGAGATAATTGTCCGAGAGGAAGATGGAGGGGGAAGGAGTGGTGATGATGATGCGGCTGCCGCTGGTGCGCTGCTGGGTGTGGCCACGGGGTGTGGAATGCTTGATGGTAGAGTAGAGGGAGTGAGGGCTTTCGATGAGCTGGTGGGCCGAGATGAAGACAAGGAAGAAGAAGAAGAAGAAGAAGAAGAAGAAGAAGAAGAAGAAGAAGGGAGCGAAGCGCTACTGGGCAGAGACACAGTGTGAGAGATGCTGGAAGAGGCCGAGGAGAGGACTTTGGCAGCCGAGCTGGAAGAAGATGTCGCGACCACCGCGCTGCTAGATAGGGCTGCACTGTGCGGGACGCTCGACGACACAACAGAAGGAGAGATGACAGCCGCAGCGGAGCTAGTCGGGATAGTCACAGAACTCGGAACAGCCACCGAGGAAGAAGATGCCGTCGTCACGACAGCGCTAGAGCTGGTGGTGGGCACAGCCGAAGACGAAGGCACCACCGTCGGCGTCGAAGATGCAATGGTGAAGGTACTAGTCGTACAAACCTGCGGCTCATAAACCTGAATATTGGTCATATCGACTCTCTCCCCATCCGTCGACCCGACAGGACACATCGCAGCGAGATAGATTCCCTCCGCGGAAGAGGTCGCCTTGAAAGTCGTCGACAGGGTGGTCCACGCGGTGGCTGCATCGTTAGCTGCTAGTCTGCCGTATGTGAGTTGAACATCCGGTGAGGCTGACCCCGTATAAGTGAACAGATACAGGTAGCACTCGACTTCGCCGGCGGTAGTGGGTTTCTGGATGCGCCAGTCCACCGAGAAGGTGTAGGTTGTTCCGACGGTCAGGCTGAGGAGTTGGTACATGTTGGATGCTTGGCTGAGATCGTCGGCGGGCTTTTCTCTGTGTTGAGGTGGTCAGAAGCCGGTCGTGGGAAGGGGGGATGGGGGAATGTAGGAGGGTGTAGAAGGCACATACACGTAGTAGGTGCCATCGTCGGCATCCGAGCTGACAACGCTCATGGCAATCCCTCCACTGCTCGCCCAGTCGGCAAATGTGCCGGTTGAGAATGACGGGTTTTGCACCAGGTTGGTTGCGGTGGTGCAGGAGACTTCGGTTTCGGTCTCGGCATTTGCTGTCGTCGGATGGGTGAGAAGGAGTGCCAGTGGCACGAGAAAGTGCTGCATGGAGCGCGAGACTGGATGGAGACAATTATTAGCCGACGATGGCTACTTTCCCGTGTGAAAGAGACGAACTCACTATGCATGATGTCAAATGAGCGTCAAGTATCGAGTAAAGTAAAGAATCAAGACACCAGCAGGAAGCCAAGAGAGTAAGAATGAAGGAACGCTTGATCTCCCAGCTTAAACTTCCAGGACCAGCGCCTTCAATTCCTTATAATTTTCCCACCCCAGCTGCCATCAACAGCTGGGTACGAGCCAGCCTAACTGCAGTCAGCCTGGACGGTTCCACCCGTCGGCCCAAATTGCACATTTGCACCGAATACGGCCCGCTGATTTGCCATTTCGGATCTATCATGCACTGCGGCTGGAACTATTTCTGTTGCTAATTGGTCTCGCTATAAATTTCCTCTTGATAAATGGACATGGGTGGTGATTTGAAAAAGGGGGATGAGGGCATGTCCGGATGGTTCGGCCGAGGGCTTGCTTTTGTTGTCCGGTGCTTAAGTACGCTTATTTCTTGTCTGTCTTGTCGGACATCGCCCCGTGGTTGACGTATCCCGAAAGCAAAGCCGGATGGAAGGGTCGATGTTGAATTTGATATCTTGAGTCAGTATATGGCCGTGTGGCTACTGCCTCGCCCTGACCACCCTCAGTCATCGCTTCCGACTGTTGCTTCTTCTCCAACCCAAACTCTGTCTCCAGTTCACTATGCAAATCAACATGTCTCATCCCAAGACCAATAACAAACCCCAAGATTGCAAAAGCCAACGCAACGAGAGCCCCTCCCCCAGGTCCCCCGCGAAGTCCGCTGCTGCCCCATACGCCAGAACACCAGTGAACCGCCCTCGCAGCGCAGGATCCGAAATACGATGGGCGAAGGCATCAAATTTCGCATTAAAGATAAAACGCATACACGCCTGTTGAGCGGGCTGTGTCGGTGGGGGATAACGCAGCCTGGATGGCGGGTAGGATGGTGGTGGCGAGGGAGCCCTGGCCTAGCGCGGCGGGGATCTGGACGAGAACCCAGGTGGTGTGTGATGAGGTCGGGCCAAGTAAGATGAACGGACCGAAAGCGACGGCGAGGGCACCGAATCCGATCGCGTGGAGGGGTCGATAGCTGCCTGTGCGCGACATGATGCCGCCGGCTACCATGGCGAAGGGGATCAGGAAGGCACTGTAGGGTAGGAGATCGACCCCCGAGGTGAGTGGGGAGCGGCGAAGCACACCCTGGAAGTAGATGGGGAGGAAGTATAGTGACCACTGCATGAGCAGGGCGGCATCGAACGAGAGCAGAAAGCCGAGCAGCGCGTTGTGCGTGGTGAATAGATGTGGTGGCATGCAGGGATGGACGCGATGCGTAAACAGAGTGGTGGTTGTTTGAATGAGCGATTGGATTATTTGTTAATCGTCAATTTCAGCATCTCATCCCCCCAATGGCTCTCGGTCTTCGCGACGTGACCTTTGAAGGGGGCAATCAGTGGCCCACAATGCCACCCTTGTCGACATATGTCGTTCACTACCTCTTTGCGAAAATGCACGCGGGCGCCTGGCGCTTTCTTCCCTCTGATACTTGGGGCCAGCCGCGCCCATTGGCATTTGCGAAGGAGTTATGTTGATAGTAGATGATGTGCTATGAGAATAGAGTACTTCTACCAGTACTACCCGGAGATACAAAGTGAATAGCCACCCAATGGTATTTATAGGGAGAGACGTATGAACAAATACTTTCTGAAGTTGTCGAGCGACGGCATATCCGACTACCATTATTCTGCCATCTTACTGCTAGTAGTACAGGACGGCAGGAAGAGTAACAGCAACAAACATCACGAGATAGAGAAATCGAAAGACGCATCTGGAATCCATCCATCCTGCTCTCTCGTCATGATAATCATACTGACTGACCATCGTACTCGTTGCAGGTATGGTACTGCTGGCCTGCAACTCGTTGAACGGGAGCAGGCTGGCATACCCCCACAATCACCGCACACCCCTCCAGTCAGCAACACCCTTTTCCCAATATGGACGACACAGTCACGTGGCGTTATTCTTCGAGGCCAAAATTTTCAATGAGAGCCTGAGGCCATCAACACCTTTTCCAGGCTGCAGAGATTCCGCTCAAGGCCTAGCGTTTTCTCAAGAAGGGCTAGCCTGATTCCTAAAAGGGAGAAACGACTGTCGTGCTTAACTGACGGCCCCTTTTCTATTCGTGTTTATATGTAGTATCTTCCTATGCTGTCTTCAAGGATCGCACTGGTTCATCGGGTTGACTATTTCATTTCAATAGACGCCTCCCTGCCTGTACGGCAATGTACATCCACACCTTTTTGAAGAAGTCATGTCTGGCCCGGCCGGTCTTCTTTACATGAGGTGCAGCCAGTACCTAGCCGACTTAGGGCTATTACAGACCACGCAACACGAGACTACACAGCACCTCCACTTGTACTCCCACTCCCACCACGAACAGCAAATCCATCATACAACCAACTCATTATTCATCACGATAAGATAACCATCCTATATACATTCCAAACAGATAAGCTCAACCAAGCCCCGCGGGCCAAGGGCGACGATCTCCGACGGACAGCCGACGGAGCTCCGCACGACAACCAAACCACGCGGAACAGAAAGCAGGCAGGCAAAGCAACGGGCCACCCGAGAGGGGTTTCCGGCAATTGCAATCGTCTCACATTTCTCATGGATCAGGAATCTTGCACCACCACCACCACCAACATCTCTCTATCTACGCCAACGGGGATCCCTCTACGGCAATCCCATGAACACGTCCAGCAGTTTGGGGAAGTTGGGGGTTCCCAATCCGGACACGGGGTCCCATCTAGATGGATGAATGGATCCGTGAGCGACGAATCGGCGGAGAAAGGTGTATGTGCAAGGGAAAAAAAAAAGGGAATAGACTTACCCCGGAGCAGTGTAGAATCCCTCGGTGCCACAGCCGGGGTTCGAGCCATTGGTGATATCGTTCAGCGCGTGCGCGTTGCGGTACAGCACCGGGTTGAGGAAGCCCAGCGGGCCCTTGCCGGCGGCGATACGCTTCTCGATGATGCGGTTGATCACGGAGGAGAAGATCGGGGTACCTGGTGGGTTAGATTAGATTAGTCGCTGGGCGAATGGTAGGGGAAGGGAAGTGTTGAGTGAGACATACTGGCACTGGTGCCGCCATCCAGGATGAATTCTCCCTCCCAGAACTCGGCGATGTTGTCGCCGTTGGCGGCTACATCGGGGTATCCACGACCCAGGCGGTTGTACACGCCACCGTTCTTGCCGAAGCTGGCGTTGCCTTCGTAGTAGGGGTACGGGGGATTGTGGTTCTTGAAGTATCTGGCGTGGGTGTTAGTGCGTCACTTTCGGGGAATGGGTGTGGGACGGTAGAACGTACTCCGCAACCGCCGCGGCTTGGTAGTCGGGGATAGTGTAGATGTTGCTGAAGCCACCACCGGAGGAGTACGCGACGGAGTAGGGGTGGCCGACTGGGTCGACGACGGAGCTTTCGCCGTCGGCAATGGTGTGGTTGGGGTACAGCTTCGTGGCACCGACGTTGGTGACGTAAGGGCAGCTGAATCTATTAGCTGTGTTTTTTGTCTTGAAGGAAGGTAGATGGAACGTACCTGTTGGGGAATGCAGGGCTGAAGATCGTTCCGTTTCCGAGACAGCCGTTGGCAGTGTCATCGCCAGCAGGGCCAGCAACACCGTCATCGCCCGAGGCAAAGAGGATAGATGTTCCTTGGAGACCGAGTTTGAGGAATCTATGCCTGTTAGGCTGATTGGGTGGGTTGACGGGGGAATGGGGAGTATGCATACTCGTTGCATTGACGCTGCTGGTAGTAAGCAGGCAGATCGCTCTCCTGGCCACCGTAGGAAACGGAAATGACGTTGGTGGGCTTGTATACACCGCACATCAGCTGGCCGGTGTATCCACCGGTGGAGTTGTCAGGGTAGACGGGGTCGAGGTTCGGGTCATCGCCGCATTCGCCGTAGGCGCAGTATGTGCAGTAAGACTAGCCAGTTAGCGTGCTTCACATCAGATTCAGATCGATCAGACTTACCCCATCGACGGCATCCAGGAAGGTGTTGAAGAATCCGTCGGTCTCGATCTCTCCACTGGCGTAGTTGTAGTCGTCGGTCTGGAAGAGCGTGATGGTCTGGGGGTAGATGATCGGGTACGCGAGCTGGAAGTCCAAGTCGGACTCGGCTCCGGCATCAGCAACCGGAACAGGAGCTTCGGCGCCGTCGATGAATGCCGGCTTGGGGTGTGTGCCCTGCGGGATGTACGGGGTGAAGTTGGCGAAGAAGAGGTTCAGATCCTCCTGGGAGTAGTAGTCGCCCTCCTCGAAAATGCCGAGGGAGTTGTTGGCGCTGACATTGGGGCTGGAATGAGGGATCTTATACAAGGCCGCGACACAGGCGGGCGTGATCATCTCATCGCAGGTGCTAAGTGACGAGGCATTGGCTGAAGCCTGTCTTGTGGGCTTGAATTTCCGAGTGCGCTTGGCTGATCGGTCCTTCGAGGGAATGGGCAGAAGCACACCGGGCTTGACAAAGTCGATGTGCTTCTGGATCGTTTGAGGAACCCGGTATCTAGGCCGTCAGTATACATTGTGATAGAAGGACAGAATCACATACTCTTCCGCAGCAATGGCCTTGGAGCCAGTGAGCTTGTCCGTGTACTGATAATACTTGGTACGGAGCAGACTCTCAGCCTCGGTGGCTGTGGACTCGAAAACAATCCAGCCCTGGTTCTTGGTGTGAACCAAACGAGACTTCGCGACTCCAGCGTTGACAAGCCAGCTTTCCACGGCGGCGACTGTCTCGTCCGACGGTGCAAAGGTGCTAATCACCTCGTCGGACGTCCAGAACTTGCCGTAGTTGGGCGAGACCGAGTCGGAGCTAAGCTGTCAGGTGGGAAGCAAGATGGGGGTGTGGCACAACGTACACGCTCATGAGGTACTCGTATGCGTGATCGAGATTACTCTGGGCCAGTCCAATGCGGACCAACACCTGCTCGGTCCCATTGACGCGGGCGGTCTTTTCCCAGCGGGATGGAGTGCTGGTGCGTCTTTCATGGACCACATGGTCGGTCGTTGGCAGGGCCACGGCAGAGACCGCAAGGGTCAAGCTGAAGAGGGTGGAAAAGAGCCTCATCGTGACTTGGATCCGCGCTGGCCTGGTCACAACCGGGGGAACTGCTGGCCTTTTATCTTCGTTTCCCCATCATCTTAGTCCGGTTCTATCTCCGTCTGCTCCGGTCGAGGTCGCATCCGTTCGGCAAACATAATCTAGTGCCTGAGCAATACCTGCTGGCTTTTATTAATATAAACCTTATCAGTCCAGAGTAGATGTGGGGTAGCTGTCTGTCTTCGTCCAATGACATCTCCATGGGATGGGAGAACAGCGGAGTTTGGTGGGAAGATGGATGCCATGCTACCGGGTGCCGATCGCGACATATGTCAGGGCGGAATCGGCGGAAGTAGCTGATTGCTTGGATGTAGAATCATATGTCTCACTGAAGAGGGGTAAGCACCGGACGAATGAGGCTAGATAACCTTGCTTCCTCGTTAGGGCGTGCTAGCTTCTTCTTTATCGTTGACCGCCACTATCTAGATACTGGCTGTGTGTCGGAGGACGGCTTAACCGAGACTAATTCAATCTAATGCTTGCACCGCCTCCAATTCCTCAACGCCGATCTATTGTGCGTACAGCCTTCCAGGCAGCCGACATGGCGATGGGGTTTGCATATCATCTTGACAGAGAGCAATAGAAAGAAGATCATGGCAGATGGTTGCAAGAAATATGTCTACAGCCAAGCAAGCTCACGTGACCATTAATACCCTACAAATTGCCCTCCCAGATCTATTCTACGTACGGAGTAGATCGCGTGGAGTCCAAGAAGTGTTCGATTGGCATCTTATTATCTCCAGCCCACGATAAACAGTGGATCTTGTTAAATTTCGGCGCCTGTGATTATCTACTACTGGCTGCGTCTCAGGCTTCGATTCCGGAATCCCGTTCCCCACTCCAGCCGACTGGAACTGGACCGACAGAGGTTCCCGAGAGACAACCCGCCAAATAAGACGTTTACGGCAATCGACCGGTTGGTGAGAATATGATGCGCATTGAACCAACCAGGCGCTGCTGCAGGTACTGTAGATAGACTATAAGGCGCTAGACCGAGATCCTTCCTAGCGATAGCAAGATCACCCACATCGATCGTTGTCAAGTTCTTCCATTTCAACATAAATGGCAAAACACTCGCAGATGAGATATTTAACAAAGGTCACAGAGTCCGAGGGAGAAAATTTATCCAAATCTCACATCTGTGTCCCGTTCATCGGATACATATTATCTGATTCAACTCTTGGGACTCCGACTCCTACCACGCGCGATCTACCTCATGGTGAAGGAATAAGGCCGGATCGAATGTGTGGGACTGGCCCCTTTCGCTGCCAAGAGCAAAGTGCCTTCCCCCGTGGGGACGAACTGGCTTCGTGTTGAACGGACCTAGCATGGTGTTCCAGAAATCGCCCAGGGTGTGCTAAGAAAGGATGGTCTGGATGCCTGCAGATATTATTCATTGCAAGGGCGTCGTCGCTCAGGTCTCCAGAAAAGTAGTGGACCTCTGGTAAAACGTCATTTACGGTGTTGTTGATCCGGTCCGCGCAGAGCTTTGGGAGGCGCTATGACGCGGCTATAAAAATAGATGTATACTGTTTCAAGTCAAATATTTTTCTAGTTGTAAAACCATTTTGTCGAGTGGTGTGTAGACAGTAGTTGTGGGTGTATATATAGGAGTGTATACAGTAGTGTGGGTGTGCATTTAGCGGCGCCTAGAATGATTGGATGGTACGGTTCTGCCCAGGGTAGACACCGCCAGGCCCGTGGAATGAAGTGACTTTACAAATTATACTAGTATCCTGAAACTCATATAATCTGGGGGGGTAGTGGAGAGACAAAAATCGGAGTAGTTGGTAGGTTCTTTCGTCAGCAACACATGCTTTCTCTTCAATTATATATATTGTGGAATCCTGCGCCTTTAGGGCGTTCATCTTGTTAGTTACTCCTATGGGGACAGATGATTGCTGGAAACTCAATTTATCTTCATATTTACTACATGTGGAAAACCGCATTCTGTATAAGAGATGCAGTCTGGTGCCACTGGGGCGCTTCTCAGTGCAGATGCATTGTGATTTCTTCCGGATGCCTGGAACTGGAGTCCGACGTGGCAGCAATCTACCAGCAAAGCGCAGAACTTCCATGAATTGTTCCCTCGAGCCTTGGGTCAATTTCTTCGAGACAGTCGACATCTGGTTTCCATCTGACAGCTCGATGTGGAAGTATACGGCCAGCGCAGGAGGTTATTGTGGTATATGCATCTATGTAGTTGAAATAAGATGGGAATGGCATACCAAGACTTTGCTTGGCACCTTGGCAATTAGGGCTGGGTATATATACTAGGGTGGACGATATTCCACCCGCTCAATAATTAATAGCTCCATGGCAAGAATCTCAGGTGATAAATTGCTTGCGGTGCAAAAGATAAATTTGCTTTAGCTTATGCAGGTAGTTTAAATGAAGAGTGTATAACATTCAAAAGCATTCTCTATTCAGCCGACGCAGTGGCGTGCTCTATGAATCCTACTCCTAGGTAAGGTACGTATGGAATAGAGATGTCTGAGTTATAGATACCAGGAGTCTGTAGTGGAACAATCCCCAGATGTGAAGGGAAGAGGGTGAGGAGGTCATATAGGAGAGGAAGAAAGCGTCAAACCTGAAATCATGTCCACGGGGCAGTGGTTCTGCTGGCCAGGAGACTAATGTAGGAAGGGAAATATGATTCTTGATTTTACTGACTTGATATGCAAGCTAATCCTGAAAGGTGTGAAAATATGAAAGTGGAAGATGTCCTTACCTACATTGATTGTCCTGGTAAGAGTCTAACTAAGTACAACGTATCGGATAGTTTCATGGAAGAGATAGGTAGTGTTCAAGGCAGTTGAATATGTCTTTCACAATGTGATTATAAAACGATCATGTACAGTTACTTAGTATACATATTGCATTTGCTTCCGCAGAACCGCAGTCTTTGTATATATACGCAAACAAAATAGCTAGCTTATGCACAACAGCGGATGTCCTTTCACCAACAGAATTAAACCTTTGCATCACCATCTGACGATGTACCCAGTCGGTGAATCTGACTTAATCCGAATCTCCGAATTCAATATTATCGCTGCTGCAATGAGATGGGGCTCTGAGGGAATCTCCAGAGTCATCAGATTCAGCAACAACGTGTTCATTGAGCTCGTTGGTGGTGGTGCCCAAGGACCTGATGATATGAAGATGTTCCAGAATTCCGTCCTTCTGGGTCTTTGTTATATCCTTGTTCTGAGAGGTAAGGGTAGCTTCGACTCTGGCATCGATGTTCTGAGAAAAGTTAAGAAGCTCTGCCTTGTACGTTTCCCCCTCATCGTACTCAATTTCGTCATCGTTCACCGCGTCGTCAATCTTATCGAAGGTTTCATCCCAATCGTAGTTTGCCCCGTCCTTCACGATATATTCAGCTGCATCCGGGGCAGTGTCTTCGAGCGCCTGATCTTCCAGCCAGTTGTATTTATCGTAGCGTGCTGCTTGGGCCCTTTGGGTCATTTCAATTGCCTGTTTCAAGTCCGCCTTGGCCGGCTCGTATCCTTCCACATCGAGAGCTGTGTTGGCGGCGTCTAACACCCTCTCCAAAACGATGGTCATAGCCTTCTCGCTTGAAAACGCAGCCATCAACTTGGTCAGGGAGAACCGGGCGGAATGCGGAATATCCTTGTTCAATGCGGTAGCTTGGCTTGCAGTGGGGGTCTTGGTGTGATCATCCGTGGTAGGGCTATAGGGCCAGCCATTCGCGATGAGATACTTGGCAAATTCATCGAAATAGCACATCTCTTCTGTCCCATAAGCCGCGGAACATCCGACCGCAATGGTTTTGTCGGCTCCGGATTCCCATTGAAACTTGTATACGTAATAAAAGTAGATCAACTCGTACGCAATAGAGGTGTTGTCGGCAAGAACGTGGGTAAACAGGACGGAAGACCAGAGGAGAAGGATATTGAATAGCTTCATGTTGACGAGGACATACGGCTGAAAGAGTGTAGAGGATAAAGAAGCGATAGATAGAGAGTGACAGGAAAGGAGTGACAGACAGAAATTGACAAAGAGAGCGACAGCAACAAAGAGTTTGAGGGAGACAGAAGGAGAGAGGGAGAGAGAACGACAGATGTAAAATTGAAATATGAGGAAAAGGTGGCAGCCTGGCGTAGTGTTGTAATTATCGCAGCACCAACCCAATCTGGGACGGGTCAAAGGAAAAAAAAAAAAAAAGGAGGCAGAAACTGTCTCCTGGATTATCCCTCATATGTCATTTGACTTAGCATACCATTCTTGCCATTCTCAATCAGAGTTGATACGAGTTTCATGCCCCATTGGGAAAGTGTCGCGATCCTTCTTCACTCCTGAGAACAGCGGAGGCAAAATGAATACCCCCCAGCTGGAGTCTTCATCGGAAGGCCTGATAGATACCTCCCGACTCAGTCGCCTCAAGCGAGAGGCATTAATATCGCGAGGATCCCGCAGGAAGGCACGAGGAGGTCTAGTCCGATTCAGGGTGGTTGTGAGGCTGAGGAGCCTCGCACTTGTCGCATGCGAGATTGCATGCACGGTTAGTTTGGCAGCTAAGGTTGTGAAGGAAGGGCGGGTCCTCAATAGTATCTGCAGCGTTCGTCCAGGGCATGTGTTGGTCCCTGGATCAATTAAACTACTTTAGCGCCGGCCTCCCGCACTAAACAAGCTCCAGTCGAATTTCCGAGCCCGGGCGCTCCCCGATCCAATCGAGGCATCGAGCCCCTGCAAGCGCCCCGTTGCCTCGGGCCCGTCGATCCTTCAGCCGGTTAGTCTGCCGGCGGCGCAAATTCGAGCCCCGGAAGATAAGGGGTTTGGGGGCCATTCCCGGCGCTCCGGCTGGCACTCCGAGACACATGGTAGGGGCGTTGGGCGCTATTCTTGCAGGATGGGTGGATTGGGCTTGCACTGACGGCGGGCAATTGAGAGATACGAGGTGAGGAAGAGCCGGAAGCAGATCATGGCTTTCCGCACTGGTGGAGAGACCAGGACGGGTTGATGCTGAAGCCTGGAGGGCGCCGGGTGGGGCGGGAGATTTACGCGGAACAAGGAACAGCAGGTCAAAACACAGGAACATTAGATTGGTGACAGTTGGCTTACGGTCCCGCGCCAGGGGAGTCTAATTTACTCGAAATCAATAGTGTAGACAGCTCGCCTCCCATAGCAATTCAATCCCGAAGGTCACCCCAAACCACCTCAGCTGCTGACGGCCGTGGCCGAGGCCTGAGCACAGTAATAGCTCTCGTAGGCGACCACGGTGGCGGCCTCATCACTGCCACAGGCCTGACCCGAGCAGTCGCGAAGGCCATAGTAGAAGTCAATGTTCTCACAAAGACACGCGGTGTCCGTTTCACTGGTACATCCGAGGGTGGCGTATTCGGCCAGCATGTTGTCAAAGCAAGTTTGGCCGCATGTCGACAGATCGGAAAGGGCTGTCGGGGTTGCAGCAGCCGCGGTTGAGGTAGTGACGGGATAGGTGGTCTGCGCCGCAATGGCCGAAGCACAGTAAGTGCTTTCGAAGTCAAGCACGGTGGTGGCGTTATCCGTGCTACAGGCGGCATTCGAGCAGTCCCGGATGCCATAGTAGAAGTTGATGTTCCGGCAGAGGCAGGAGGGGTCCGAAGTGGTACATCCGAGGGTCTCGTATTCGGCCAGCATGTTATCGAAACAGGTTTGCTGGAGACCTAGGGTTAGCCGATTGGACTCTTGGTGACAGGAGTTGAGAGTTGACTTACGCCACAACTGGGGAGCTGGGAAATCGCTGTCAGGCTAGCAGTTCCGGTGGTGGAAGTGGTAGAGGTAGTGGAGGGGGTCGAGGTGACGGAGGCAACAGAAGTAGAAGACGTAGTAGAAGAGGTATCAGAGAGAGTGGTGAGAGTAATAGTGCTGGTGGTGGATGGGACAGTGGAAGTGGCAGAAGTGGAAGTCGAAGTGACCACCGAAGTCGCCGCCGTTCCATCAAACGCAGTCGCAAACACCATGGTTCCATTCACACCAGCGATCGTCGGGATGACAGTTGCAAACGCCGTGGAGTTGTAGCTGGTGACATCCATCAACACATCGGCCCCGATGACGGAAGTGCACACGGCACCCAGCCCAGGACGGGTCGTGTTCTGATAGTTGGGGGCGTACAGCCCATACCCTCTAAAGACCAGTCACACTCCGGTCAGTATCTTCTCGACAATGAAAGACGAACCACATACCCAGGGCAGCAAATGATGTATGTCTCGGTGACGTTGTACGTCTCCCAGTTTTCGGGGCAGACCAGCTGGATGTATGGGGGCAACACCTCAGTAGCCACGGCGCTATAGTAGAACTGGCTGGGATAGCAGGATGACAAGGTCAACGTGGGGACTGGGTTGACAATGTTCTGCCACAGCTCGGTCCCCCACGATGCCACCTCGGTCATCCCACCGCTACATCCCGAAGGTTGGGTAAAGATCGTGGTGAGGACCAGCGGGTTCCCAGTAGTAGTGGTAGTGGCATTGGGCGCTGGCGTAGTGAGCGGCGTCGAGATTGACGAGTTCGAGGTTGCCAATGAAGAAGAGGCCAAAACCGTCGATGATGCGGTACTAGTCGGGGTAACACCAGAGGTTACCACGCCTATGGTCTCGAGCTGACCAAAGGCGAGGGGCAATGAAGCGAACGCAAGCAAAAAAAGCCGGGAGACGGATTGCATCTTGGATGGTTGGTCTGAGAGCCAACAGAGAGTGAAACAAGAGACGTCCGGTTACAATCGAGGAGAGGAAAAACGAGGGTGGCAATGGGAAGCAAATTGCAACCCCGGTGAATAAATATAACCGGATAAAGGAGGCCCGGGGCTCGCTCGAGGGCCGCCGTGATGAAGCAGGGGCTGAGGTGCATGCGGGATCCACCGAAGGATCGTAGCGGCGAAGGGTCAGAAATTAGGGCGGAAGGGTGTTGATGATAGTCTGCTGGTTAGGCTGCAGGGTGGGGATACGGGTGGGTATTGCTTACTCCGGAGCCTGCAGGATCCTGAACGAGCCCTATCGACAGAGTCAGCCGAGATTGGATGAGCCGTCAATCCTGGCCGGATAGCAGCAGTCAGGGACTCTGTGTACGGATTGCTCAGCCTCGGATGACATTGTCCTGTCGAGTACGGACTCCGGCCAGGGGCTCACCAGCTTTCTGGCTATAAATATTCCACCCCCAAGTCTTGGTGCATGGGAAGCCAAGGCCCATCTTCATTCCACTCACTCACTCACTCAGTCATTCCTTCACCTGTGCGTTGCTCTTTGGTCATTTGACCCAACACCTTCATTCACCCGTCGGTTCCTCTCTCTCGTCCATCGTTCTTTGCATGAGAGGAACCATGGCGGCCGTATTTTCCAACCGTCTCCCTCTTTTGGCTTTCCTATTCTATCTTCTCACCCTCGTCGCTGCTTCTTCTGCAGCAGACCCTCCCTTTCACCTGTGGCATCAACGCCGGGCACTCGCGGATCCTCCCACCCCGAGCTCCCTCAATGTTTCGAGCAGTACCCTCCAGGAGGCCCGGAAGCTGGTGGCCTCGGCCGTAGCCCAGCAGTCCAGGTACAACGCCTACCGGGTGGCCAACCCGAAGCGCAACACCTACGAGACCCGACCCTCGGGGACAAATGCATCGTCCACGCGCAAGAGGTCCGATGAACCGGAAGCCCCCGTGTTGGATGCCAAGTTGCGGGCTGCGGCTGCCCTGCTGGCCGAACGCCATGCAGCCCAACAACTGGCCAACGGCACCCTCTACAAAAGCTACAGCGAGTTCACCAAGTTGCCCAAGCCCCTCACAATCACCAAACGGGACGATGACTCGAGCTACTGGCCGTCGCTGGTGTCTCACGGAGTTCCCCCCATGGGATGGGACCCGTCCTACCCCGTCTACCGAGACGTCACGGACTCCCTGTTTGGTGCCAAGGGCGATGGAGTGACCGATGATACCGATGCGATCAACGCTGCCATTGCCTATGGGGGTAGCTGTGAGGAGGGCTGCGAGTCCTCCTCGGTCAAGGGCACGTTCATCTACTTCCCTCCCGGCACGTACCTCATCTCCTCCCCCATCAATGCCTCCTACTACTCCCAACTCGTGGGAAACCCCAATGACCTTCCAACCATCAAGACCTCTCCTTCGTTCATCGGCCTCGGCGCCATCCAGAGTGATGTCTACATCCCGAACGACAATGGTGATGAGTGGTATGTGGAGCAATCGAACTTCTATCGCCAGGTCCGAAACCTCATCATCGACATCCATGACACCACCACCGCCTATGCTGCTGGACTCCACTGGCAAGTCGCCCAGGCGACATCGCTGACCAACGTGTACATCACGGCGAGTGACGCCTCCGGAACCACCCAGATGGGGATATACACCGAGAACGGCAGTGGCGGGTTCATGTCAGGCTGCTCCATCGTCGGCGGCCAGTATGGAATCTACGGGGGCAATCAACAGTACACGGTCCGCGGCTTCCAGATCTCCAGTCAGACGAAGGCCAACATCTGCCTGCTCTGGGACTGGGGATGGACCTGGGCCGACATGTACCTCACGAGCGCACCGGTGGGAATCAGCCTGATCGACCCTGAGGATCCCACGGGCCAACAGGCCGGGTCGACTTACATCCTGGATACCATGTTCGATGAAACCACCACTGCAATCGAGGCCAAGTTCCAGGAGTCGACTATTCTGGACACCAGCATCATCACTCTGGATAATATCGGAGTGAACGGGGTCGACACCATGGTCGCCTTCACGGACGACACCAACCTCGACCTTCCCGAAGGTGACGTGGACTTTGTGATCATTGGAAACATCAAGGACCTGAGCTCGCAGGCCTTTGGATCCTACTCTGTGAACGTTCAGACCCCCCCGAGCCCTCTGCTCGGCGACGACGAGATCATCTACCGAGAGACCTACTTCTACAAGAACCGCCCTCAGTACGAGATCTTATCGGTGGATGACATTGTCAGCGTCACAGACCACGGCGCCACTGGCGATGGATCGACGGACGATACGGCCGCCATTGTCGCGGCGTTGGCCCTGGCCACCACCGACAACCTGATCTACTTCCCCCCGGGCTCGTACCTGATCACCGAGACCATTGTCATTCCAGCCAAGGCACGCATCACCGGCCAGGTCTGGTCTCAGCTCGTCGCCTCGGGCGATTACTTTGCCAACATGACCGATCCCAAACCCATGATCCAGGTGGGAAATGCCGGCGACGTGGGCACGGTGGAGATCAGCGACATCCTGTTCACCTCCATCGGGGAGCTGCCGGGATTGATCATGGTCGAATGGAATGTCCAGGCCGAGAGTCAGGGCTCGGTGGGCATGTGGGACTCGCACTTCCGGGTGGGTGGTGCGTACGGCACCAAGCTGCAGGTGGCCGAATGCCCTGCCAGTGGCTCCATCGAGTCAGGCTGTGTGGCCGCGTCCATGATTCTGCACATGACGGCAGGCTCCAATGGCTACTTCGAGAACATGTGGCTGTGGGTGGCCGACCACGACATCGATGACGCGGATAACACGCAGATCACCGTGGCCGTTGCTCGAGGCTTCCTGCTTGACTCGACCTCTGGGCCAACCTGGCTGTACGGCACGGCCTCGGAGCACTCGATGCTGTATCAGTACAACTTCGCCAACGCCACCAACACCCTGGCGGGCATGATCCAGACCGAATCGCCGTACTTCCAGGCCACGGACTCGACCGAGTCCCCCGGCCCTTTCAACAGCTCCATGGGCCTGTTCACCAATGATCCCGAATTCCCCGACTCCACCTGCAACGCGACGGCCGAGATGTGCGATTTCGCGTGGGCCGTCATCATGAAAGAAAACACCAACCTGACTGTCGCGGGTGCCGGTCTCTACTCCTGGTACGACGACTACCTGGAGACCTGCGTCGATACCCAGAACTGCCAGCAGCGGCTGGTCCTGGACTCGGGCGACAACGGGGGCCTCTATTTCTGGAACCTGATCACCATCGGAGCGGTGGAGATGATCAGTAACACGGCCGAAAACGACATCATCCTGGCCAAGAACAACACGCAGGCCATGGCGCATCCCTACTGGAGCGCCCTGGCCGCCTACCTGGACGACTACGAGCAAGAGGTCCTCTCGTGCCCTGTCAACTCGACCGAGGCGGCGTGCCTGTCCACCTGGAAATGCGATCTGTCCAAGACGTACGCCACAGTCGAAGACCTCAATTCCGCGGCGTCCGACTACCCAGACCAATGCATGCCCTACTACGCCCTCGGCACCCTCTTCTACACCCTGAACACCACCATGTACAACTACACCGCGGCCAACAAGGACTACGACAAGTACTTCAAGTACTACCAGCAATACGTCCGGGAGATGGTCCCCGACGCCATCGACGCCTTCATGGCGGCGTCCACCCCCAACCAGCCCGACGGCGGCGCCGGCAACAAGTACTTCGACTGTACCTGCGAGGGATATGGACCGACCTCGACCCAGACCTGCCCCTTCCGGTACACCCAGCTGTCGGGCGCGACCTCGTACATCATGACCTACACCCTGAAGAACGCGACGGGCTTCTACGACGAGCTCTACAGCACCTACGGCATCAACAGCAGCTGGGTGGAGTTCGTCGACAAGGGCGGCCCCGTCCACGAGATTGGCCACTGCATCCCCGGCGAATGCTCCTCTGGCACCGACTACCGCTACGTCGGCCTCCCCCAGGCCGTCAAATCCAGCAAGATCGACGTCTCCAACCCCAAGGACATCATCACGGCCGCTCTCCCCTCGATCGGCAAGCTCAAGAACAACATCCTGGCGCGAAACATGGACCTCAACCTCGGCGCCTGGACCGGCGCCTCGCAAGACCTGATCTCAACCTTCTCCCTCCCCGTCTTCATGCTCAACCAGGCTGTCGCCTCCATGGCCAGCGTCAAAGCTATCGGTGAGAAACAGGCCAAGGAGGACAAGATCAAACTCATTCTCGAGATCCTGGGCATTGTGTTCGCCTTCGTCCCCTTCCTCGATGATATCACGCCCGAGTTGGAGCTCCTCGACGGCGCTTTTGAAACCGTCGCTGCCACCGGCAACGTCGCTCTGGGCATCCAGAGTATCGTGTCCGACCCGACCTCCGCCCCCATGGTCCTCTTGGGACTGATTGCCGGTGGCGGCCTGAAGGACGACGATGACTTCGCGGAGACGGCTGCCGCGGCTCGCGAACTCACCGAGGATGACCTCGAGAGTATCGGGAAGGACTTCAAGGAGGAGGAGGAGAGCTTTACTGATCTTACCAAGATCACTTGTGACATCTAGAGGGTCGATCACGACTCGACCCCCTAGTCTCCTCTCGATATGAGCCCTAGGGTGAATGGGTATGATTAGCTTACCTTTCCTCTCCGTATTCCTCGGATTTCTCTAGATATCGTCGTGTTCTCGACCACAATAGATTAGATATTGTTGAATATACGATGATCTGCCATCGGAGTGAATAATGGGGATTTCTGTTTGATGTTCATTGCTTGAGTTATGCCGGAGATCTGATGGTAGCAGTTATATGTATGTTGCGCACAAGCACGTAGGTTCTAATCAGCTTCCAGCATTGGCACCTTCTCCACCCGTGTGTACACACCCTGGCGGCGAGTACCAACGTTTGTAGCCGTTTTCCGGTCACAAATGCAACACCCTGTCCGAGGAGCCATGGACATGTCCCGCGTGCAGAGAAGGAAAAAGGACATTTACTGATTAATTCTATTTGTGAACAGGTTTCAATCACTGACGAGGAAAGCCGAAGTTGGGATTGGTGGTCGATGGCCAAGGACTAGAGGCTGCTCGGACGCATCCATGGTTCTTCGACCTCTTCAATACTCGATATCCCATGAACCAATCGGCCACCTTGCCTGGTATCTCCATCACTCCTGAAGTAATTGGTACGGTTGGACATAATGGTATTCATTCTTCTAGTAACGAAATCTGATTGGCAGATGGCCGGATTGTTCCATTAATTTACGTCGCTCGTTGTCGTTTTCGGTGGACTCGTCCGTAGGTTTGTCGGAAGTTCTTGGAGGGTGTTTCCTTCGAGGTCTTTCCTTCCCGGCGACGGGGCCAGCCTTCTGGTCATCGAGTGTGGCTGGCTGCGACGCAGTGCAGAACATGACACGGAGGACAAGCAATTCGAACATTACGAGTTGGCCGAAGATATCCAGGGCGATGCCAAGGAGGGTAAATGGATCGAGCACGCTGCGAAGCCAGAAAGCAGACGAGACCTTTTTGAGCTGGGATCGCATTTATTCCCATGGTAAACGCATCGAATAACCATTTTCGGGATGAAAGATCGTAGATTATTTAGAAACCCACCCATCATCCACGACCCATGCAATAACTACGCAGTGGAGCCAACAAAAAACTAGCACCGGGGGTGAATTGACAGGAACCCCGAATCGCCGATCTTGCAGCTCCACAATAATCCCGAAGTGGGTCACTCCCGCCGCAAAAATACACTCCCCGCCGATCGATGGTGGTTTTTTTTTTTTTTTTTTTTTTTGGAACGGACCGCGATTTACTGGGCTCGGGAATTGGCTATGTGGGTTACTGCAACCCTGAGGCTATTCCCTACGCCAGATTTAAACCCCGTACCAGTCGATCATCTGTCGGAGCCAGCGGGGTCCCAGTTCGGTTTGGCGCCTGTTGCGCGGCCGAGCGAGGCCTTCACTGATACCCGCCGTATAGGCTGGAGCCATGCAGAGAGCCAATATCAGTCCCTTCATTGGCAAAGTGTCTCTCAGATGATCCGTAGTTAGCAATAAGTACCGTCTGAGGATGATAAAGCGGGTTCTGTGTAGAGCTTAGCGCCTGCCGGTGACAGTCTGCGACTAGATAGGCAGCTACGTACCGTTTTCTACATCGGCTGCGCAGTTACCGGTACTTGGGCTAGGCCCCCGACATGGCTTTAAAAGGCTTGACCGAACATCGAACCTATTCAATGACTGATGGGGTACTAACTGGATTTGTCGGCCCCCTTGTTAATTCTGGCTTGAGGCGCAGCACTCCTTCTGGCAACGGAGATGGGGATGAGGGATCGCTCTGTTGACGAGAACAGGCCCATCTCGAGCCCAACTACCGGTAACTGCCCAGGGGTCATAACTTTGTTTTTCCTGCCGGATTTTCATTTTAATTCTATCATAGGATACTTTCTGTTGGTTGTTCGGTCGGCTTCCCATTGGTCGATCGGCACGGAAGCCACGGCCCGTGCTGTCCAACCCGGAGCCGAACCCTAACTTCACTCCCCTTTTCACTTACCCTTATGTCTTACAGAACATGGAGTTAATATAGGACGGGAGCAACTAGACCAAAAAAACATCCCGCGCGACAAACTCAACGATAAGCTCTCTCCGAAAAGCCGGTCACCTTCGGAAAAGGTCTTGCAGAAAATAATACACACCGACCACAATGTCATCCGTATCAACCCAAGCGCATCGATGCAGAAGAATTACACAACACGGGAGCTGGAGATCGATAACGCCGCCGATAAATCAATGTGTGAGTGCACGAGGAAGCGGGATCCCAGGTCTTCGTCGACCCGAGCATATCGATACCGACATAGCTGACGAACAGAGACCCAGAGGCTCGGTGAAGAAATACGGATCTTTCCTGAGCGGAGAATGGGAGTATTCCGCACTTATTCGGGAGTCCCAATGCATTTCGCATTGAAGGAAGCCTAGAATCCAAAACGCAGTCGGTCCGTCCATGATGGTTTGGGAATCCTTCGGGATATTACGCACGACGATTCAGCACAAACAATGCCAGCAAACCTATGCACTCCTCATTTGGGCAGCCTGAATGGTTGTAATGAATTTTTTATGGCGATTAAAGTTACAGAATCCGCAGCCGCTCTCGGCTACACAATTCGAAACCAGTCGTGTTTTGAAAAGGACTGAGCGTGATGAATTAGCGCCGCCAAAGGTCGGTTCCGTCTCCAGCGAGCCACCTATGCTCTCCAATCCCCCCTTCCTCCAGCTGCTGCCGTTGCTCATCAAGGGTAGCATAAGTATCCGGCGTTCTGTGCGCAACCACGCGAAAATGGACCCCGACTTCGCGAAACCGCTCCTTCAGCGGGATCAGTCGCTCTTCAAGAATAGCGTCAGCCCCCTGGACTGATTTAACGGGTGATGCTGGATTCGGGCTGCACCAAAGACACCCACCTGGCTCCTGCTCTCGATAGGCAGACCGGATGTCGAGTCGTTCTAGGCGCGGGCAAGGACCACCGGGGAGCGAACCGGCCAGGTCACCCAGTTCAGAGCAGAGCACTGTCAGCGAATGGACCAGACAGTCGTCGATAAACAGAGATCGCAGAGCCGGCGGCAGGAGGGACCGCAGCGGTACCAAAGGGGCGCCTTGCGAACCGTGCTCGTCGAATGGTACCAGGTCCGCCCAGCGCATGCGGATCGTCTCGAGGACGGAGAAATCGCGCAGCGACCCTAGGAAGCTGGGCCGCGGCAACGTCGGGGCCTGCCAGATCCGGATATCCCGCGCGAACGTAATGTGAAGGTTCCGGAGGGAGTGCTGGAATCGTAGCAGAGGCGCGTAGAAGCTCGAGGTGTCCAGCAGGTCATGGTGGCCGTTGCCAGACCGACAGTACTGGCTGCCGTGATCATCCTGAATCAGAGTGAACGATTCAAGGCCCGAGAACATGGACAGCAGATACGGTAGGCTGGTCAGCGGCTCTCCTACAGGCTGGAGCCGAAGATGCGTCAGAGGCAGTGACGCAGCCTTCTCAGTGAGCTGCATGGCCATGGCCGTAGTCGGCGTCGTGGATTCGATCGGATCGCATACAAAGAACCTGCGGAGCGAGGGAATCTTCAGATAAGGGAGTAACCGATGAATGAGGATGGCCTCGAAGCCGCCCATGCCCTGATAGATCGGACCGAAGCGCAGCCGCACGTCGGTAAGCCGGGTCAGGATCCCCAGTCGGGGGTTTTGCGCCCAGTGGATCACGCGGTCTACATTGGTCGTCAGCCGGCGGGACGCATCGTAGAAGCTGCGCTCCTCGGGGATCTCCATGGCGAGCTGCTGCAGATTGCGCAGTTGGACGAGCAGGAGCGCCACCCAAGCGTCCTCGTACCGATCCGAGTGGGACGAAAGATCGCGCTTCCAGGCATTGAATCGCGCTTTTCGTCGGGATTTGGCGTTTGCGTCGCTGTAGGGGAGCATCGAGGCGCGATAGCTTTCCGGTTGGAGTTTCTTAAGGGGCGGCAGCCGGCCGCGCCATTTGTTGCCCTCACAGCGCGATGGGTATAGCTCTAGGATATGAATCATCTCCGCCAGAACCGGGTTCTCAATCAGAGTCTGCGTAAACCGACGAACGGGCAGTTTCATGTTCTTCATACGCTCGAAGCCCGCTGCCTCCCACATATTCAATGGCAGAATGACATGGTGGTAGAGCTGAGGGGTAAACCGCGACCAGCATGTTTTAGAAACAAGGACCAGTTGGAAGAGGTCATGAGAAGCAAGAAGTCGGGCGATGAGAATACTAATCTCGGGTGGGAGATCGGTCAGGTGCATGCTTTGGAGGGGATGGCATATGGTGATGGTGGTAGCGGTGGTGTGGTGCAGTGTTGATAGTAATAGTGGAAGGTCGCCGAGTGCACAGCCAAGTATTTATTCAAACACAGGTAGTCTTACACTAGTGGCGATGAAATGGATTAAGTGACAATTACCGTACAGTATTATACAGGGCTGTCAGGCCAATAATACACTAGAACTGAACTAGAGCTGACGTTGAGAACATAACACTAAGTAAACACTAGTTGGGGCTAATAACATCTAGCCCTGCTTTGGAATTTCAACTTAGATCCTTGAATTTCTGGGCCACGGCTGAGCAAGAAGATCCGCACCCCAGCACATTTCGATATGTCACCACGTTCCTCATGATATTCTGGTGATGCAAGTATTCTGATGCCTTGTTGCTACCAGCCCATTTCTTATACCGTTTCAGCAGGTCCTTAGACGAGGATTTGCTGACTTTGCTCTGTTCGGTTGCTGTCTTGTCCCAATCGATCACCTTTACCGTTCCATCTGCCACTTTCACAGTCTTGTCGTACAGCGTCACCCCCTCGAACCTTTCCTGGAAGGACTCCTGCGTTCTGGGGAGATTTTCATTCCAGCGATTGATTTGGGCAATCTCCAACGCTCGCCGGGAATTCTGAAGCAGCACTGAATCGACGGTCATGACTCCTTTGGCGGCTTGGACTCGGTTGGTGATGGCGGCGAGCATGTGCTCATAGTTCCACTTCGTCGCGTCCCTGTAGAGCTTCGAGATTATGTAACTTCCCGGCCATTCCATCTCCGCAAAGACCGTGTCGGCGCCTTCCACGGCTGGGTACACCGTGTCACCGGCGGCAAGATACACCTTGGGTAGGTAGTTCTTGTTCGACCAAGACTCGATGAACTCGTTGAACGTGCAGAGCCCCCCGCTCGCACTCACGCAGTGGGTTCCGATATATCGGTCCTCCGCACTCGAAAAAGCGGCATATTCGATCCGGTAGGCATAGAAATAAAATAGTGCTTCGTACAGCCCGGCAGTGTCGGCGGCTTTTCCCACAATGACGCAACAGAACCAATAAAGAAGGATGGGAAAGACTCTCATTGTCCAAGACAGGGTCCCTCGGGGAGAAATGGAAAGATAAGCGATGTTGATCAGGCGTAAAGAAACTGACAACCTGAGTTTCCTGGAAAGGGAATGGCAATAGTTGGGAGACAATGGCATTCTTATGATACAACGGACAGGGCTAATTTGGGATACCATCCTAACCAAAGGCCATAGCTTTGGATCCTGCACTATGCCCCTGAGCGATTTTCCCTCGTTGACCACGATCATGACCTTAGCCGTCTCCAGAATTGGTACAGGAAAGGGTTATTCAGCTCCTCAAGGCTCGGAGGTTCAGGTTTTCGATACAAGAACCACGCTCTATGAGAGCGGCGGATGGCACGAACTCGAATGGGTCTCTCCTGAGATGAGGCATGTAAGTACATTTGACAAACTGGGCGTTTGAAAGTGGGGCAGGGATCCATGTCTCTAGTGCTTATTGTCCCTGGCCACGGATGTTACAGTTCTCCGAGACCCATAGGTGGAAGAGCTAGAGATGCAACTTTATAAAATTACAATCTGGATACAGGGATAGCTTTCGAGATGGCTATATGCGGTGAGCCAAATTCAGGGAATGGTGATGGCAGTGAGTTTCGTTGGCAATATAGAGGTATATAATCACCCAAGCCATGAAAAAAGATCATGGACCTTGGCTAGGACTTTGAGGCTGTGTCGAATGTATTCCAGACAATGTTTATGGCTGGAAAAAAAAACTGGATGTGATACAAAATCAAAGCTCCATAAAATAGCAGCTGTATTATGATAGCTAAGGACGTGATCCAGACAGTCCCCAGTTCTGGTTAAAGTCCACTTGTTAATCTCACCGTTGACCCAGGTGGCGTTTTCCACCTTCCTAATTGGGACTTGGGCCCTAGCCCGCCACCATCGAGTAGGAGTAATAAGCACTAGAACATGTCAGATCCACCAATTTATCCGCTACACTGTTGTCATTTTAGCTCAAATTGGGGGGGGTTTGGCTTGGTGGAACGCAATACTTCCGGCGCGTTTATTTGTTACCGGCTTGGTATGCAGGGAGTTGAATATGTAAAATTCTATCCAATGATGCTACGCGATCTTTACTTTTTCTGTGTGCAACAAGGGCCATATCATGAGGCAGAGGAGTATATGTGGTGGGATATCTGAGACATCACATTACATACTAGATTCTATTGCACGGATTTGGTGATTAGGAAGGTGCCGTGAGGAGGAAACTCATATGCGGGTAATAACTGTCGAAAAACCCCTGATTTCAAATATGGGCACACTGTATTTTTCCGTCTAACAAGGGCAACAATACTGACCTCTTCGCTCCCTTTCTTCAAAGGGTCCAATTTGCCACTGTCCAATATTCACTTGGTGCTCCATACCTAGGAACATGTGAAAGCTTGAGGGAAATTTCCCTTCTGTATCACCAGGAAATGGCTACCCAATCGGGGCCCTTGCTTGGCGGAACCCTTCCGGTACCGAAGGTACGAGCCATTAGCCCTCACTAGTACTGTCCACTATGAACAAGCTTAAGCTTGACATGGTAAGTTTTCTGACAGAGGACCTGGCTACTCTATATACATGCTAGCTTATCCCACGGACTATAGAGAGGCGGACTGATCCTTTAGTGGGGTTGAACGGTCGGTAGAGAGTCGTATCTATATACTGCGAGTTACAAGTGCAATCCATGGTGGAACTACAGGGCTGCTATTCTGATCCAGGCTCCAGCCTCAGGTCGAAGAGCAGGGACAGAAAGATCTAACCATGGAAAGGAAGTAAATCTCGCTTGCAGTTCCGAGCCTCCGATGCAATTGACCTAGTAAGCCGGCGGATGTCCGTGGCAGGGTCATCTAGATCTCCGGATCTTCCTTCTCTCCCCACTCGGTCCCTGATAAGCCGGATTTAGTTTTAAGCGGGTTTCTTCCCCGAAGGAAACAGGCAAACCTCACTTACATGGAGCAAAACATAGCAAGAAAAATTGGCAAGAAACCTCAGCAAGGATGACGGACAGAATTACCCCCGAAATGTTTCTCCATATTGGACAATTTCTGAACACACATGATTTTTACCACCTTGTTCTTGTCTCAAAAGCATTCTATTCCTTGTTCATCTCGCAGCCTTATCACCATGTCCGACTCCCAATGAACCACTTCGCGACTTTGGGATATGGTCATGTATCTTCAAAAGACCTTCCTTTGCGTCGGTTCACCTACACAGTCATTGATAATCCGTGCTTCGCTGGCCTAGTTCACTCATTAGAGCTGAGCTACGCTGGTCTCCATGAGGAGTAACGGCGCAACAGACCTCAACTGGATGGCCCCCCCCCAAAGAACCTTGCTATCGAGCCTCTCTGTTTCGATATGGGGAATCTAACCTGAAATTCCAGCGGATGTTTCGTGTATGGAAAAAACATCTTCAGGGAGGCGATAATGCCGAAGATGCCTGGCTTGGCCTTCTACTGCTTAGAGTTACAAATCTACTGCGACTTTCTTTGCCATTTCAAGATGAGAGGTGTAATTTCCCCTACAACCTCGAGCAAACGCCTTATTTCGACCGTGTTATCGAATGGGCAGGAGACCGGAAGCTGAAGATCCTTGCACATTTGACCCATGTTTCCATCAAACCAGCCCCGTGGAGAGTGGAATAGGAGGGATTTGTTGGCGGTGGCCGCTCCGGGGCCACGTGACCGCACCTCGGCACTTGATCGCCGCGATCCCTGGCCCCTGTCACCCAAATCAATCCACTGTTTCTGTTGCTTTGTGAGAATATTTTTTCTATTTGAGTAAATTATAAGCCTGGTAGCTTGTTATTTTAGAGTTATCTAATAATTTCTAAATATCTCTGTTATCATTATAAGTATTTATTATTATAAAATATTTTTAATATATTATTAGACAGATTTTTAAATTTTTTATAATATTATTTAACTTTCTCTAGTATATTAATATAATATATTATTATTTTATAATTATAGTAATTAAATTATAGTACTATCTTTATTAGTACTGATAAATATGATTTTAGAGAATCTGATTTATTAAATCTAGATTTTATACTCTTAGTATTTTAGCTGTTTTAAATATAGTTAATAAATAATAATATTAATAATATAACTTTATTTTCTATCACTGATTAGATATATTAAAAAAATAGTTATTTAAATTTATATTTCTAACTATAATCAGTAGTTTTTAGATTATTCTTAATAATATAATTATATATAAAAATTAGGTCTGATAGATCTGACTGCAAGACCGCAACCTAGGGGAGTTATTGCCACTGAGCCAAAAGACTAACATTACCCGCAATTACCTGCGGACCCCTAGAATCCCATATATATACTCAGGTACACCCGGGAGGAGGTGTCACTCTTGTAAGGATGCATCCCGCGGATATCATCCCTTAGATTAGAGTGGCTAACAGCCAGGTCAGATAAGGTTAATTAAAATTCTTATATCTGACTACCAGATTATAATTAGATTAAGAAGATTCTTATATCTAATTATAATATAATTAAAAATTAAATAATTAAGTATTTTAATTATTCTTAATATTAAGATTTATCTGCTATATTTTTTTCAGTTTTAATATAATTAAAATATATTTAAATTAAATAATTATTAATCTAATTATTTTTATTATTATTTAAAAATATATAAAGAGAAGCTTTTTAGATTAAAAAAATATAATTAAAAAAAAAATTAATATTTTCTTTATTATTATTTATTAAAAATAATAAGAAAATTCTAATTATATTAATAAAATTTAGTATTTTATAAAATTTTTATTCTTATAATAAAAGATATATATAAAAATATATAATTATTATTCTATTTTAGTTATATATTTTAATTATATTATAAAATATTAGAAAAGTTATATATTAATTATTAATTAAAATACTAAAAATAAATATATTATTTTTATATTATTATTTTTTTTAATTTCCTTTGAATAATTTATTATATTTTTATTTTTTATTTAAAAGAGCTGAATTATTTATATTAAAAATTAAATTTTTATATAATATTATTTACTTGTTTATTCTTAATAATTATATTTCTTAATAATTATTTAATTAAATATTAGATATTATATATTAAAAAGCAGGCTGATATCTAATTCTTAGTCTAATTAAATAATAAAAAAAATAATTCTAATTAAATAATTTTTTATAATTAATTTTCTAAATTTTTTACTAGCTACTGAATTAGATTATTCTTCAATTTATAAAGAAAATATAATTCAAAGAGCTATTAATAAAATTAAAAATAAAAAAATAATTAAAAAAATTATAAATTATATATAGAATAATCAAAAAGAATAATTATATTATTAAAATAAATTAAATTAAATAAATTAAATAAATAGAATAAATAAATAAAATAAATAAAATATATTAGATCTATATTATAATATTATAATTCTTATAGAAGATTTTAGAAAAATTTTTTATAAATTTTTTTTATAAAAATTTATTTTTTATTCTAGTTTATTATATCTTCAGCAGCTTTATTTAAAAAAAATTATTTTATAATTTTAAATTTTAGATATAAATTTTCACTTATTAAATTTATTAAAATAAATAAAATATAACAGATATCTTAGCTGTATATTAAAATATAATAAATTATATTTATATAAAAATATATCTTAAAATAAAATAAACTATCTTTATAGATTTTTTTATTTTTATTTTTTTATATTAATTATTTATAGAATAGCTTTAGAATTATAAATTAATTATAATTATTTAGTTTATTTTTAAAAAATATTATATAAATCTTCTTCTTTTATTTCTTAGATCTTTATAAATTATAATAATATTTAAATTAAGATAAACTTTTTAAGTCAGATCTTTTTTTCTCTTTTAAATCTTAAGATTATATATATTATAAAGTATTAGAAGATTATTTTATATTAAGTTTTTTAAAAAAAGCTCTTTATTTTTTAGAATTAATAATAAAGTATAATCTTTTTTAAAGACTATATATAAGCTTAAAAATTATTATTTTATTTTAATTAAAAAAGATTATTAATAATATAGAATAGTTTTTAAAAAAATATATTATTTTTTATTAAAATTTATTATATTTATTATATTATATATTTTTATATCTTATAATATTCAGAAATTAAAAATTTAGAAACTAGTTTTATAAGTTATTATTTTTATAAGAATTATAAGAAGAAATTATTATTAGTTATATTTAAATAAATAATTAGTTAAATATTAAATAAAAAATTATTATAGATATTTATTTATTTTTTTAAAATAAATCTTTTTTAATTATTATCTTTCTCTAGATTTTTATAATTTATAATAAACAAGATTTTTAGAATTAAATTCTATATTTTATAATTATTTATTATCTATTATTCTAGATTATCAAATATATTTCATTTAAATAAATAATTAATCTTATTATTTTATTTTTTTATTAAAAATTAAGTTTTTCTAATTAAATATAAATTAAAAAATATTTTATAAAACTGTCTGAAGAGATATATATATAATTATTTATAAAATTCTTAAATATTAAATAAATATTAATTATAATAGACTACTAAATCAGCTTTAATTAAAAAGTATTTTTTATTTTAATTAAATATTTTTTAATAAAAAATATAGATTATTATAAGGTTTTATTAGATTTTTAATTAATATCTAGATCTTATATTAATAAAAATCTAGTTATAATTATTTTATTAGTCTTATATAAATATAATTTTATTTATTAATTATTAGATATAATAACTAATAATATTAATAATAATAATATAATATTTAATATAATCTTAGCTAAATTATAAACTTAACTTAATTAAAATACTTAATTTTAAATTATTCTAATTAATTTTAATTTTTTAAGAATTATTCAAAATTAGTATTATATTCTCTGTTTTATTTATATAATTTAGCTTATAATTAATATTCTTTTATAAAACTTTTAGATTAAGATTTTGAATAATATTATTAAATATATATAAAAAAATAATAATAAAAGTCTTAAAATTTTTTTAATATTTTAAAAATTCTTAAAAAAATATATTCTAGAAGCTGTCTATAAAAAATTAATATAAAATCTTTTTAAAAATTATCTATATTAAACTTTTAAAAAAAACTTCTAAAAATCTTTCATAAATTAATTTATTATATTAATTCTTAATTATAAATTCAGAAGATTAAATAATTTATAAATATAAGTTTTTAATATTATAAAAAGTTCTGGTTTATTTAATAATTTAAATCTAACTTAGTCTATTATCTTTTTTTTAATTATAAAACTTACTAAAACTTAATCTATTTCATAATTTATTAAATACTTAATTTTTATTAAATAATTAAAAGTTCTATTTAGTATTATAAGTATAATAATATTAACTAATATTATAAATACTAAATTATTTTTAAAAAAATATTCTATTTTTATTATAGTTAGAATCTAATAATTAATATATTATTAATAATCTTTAGATTATTATTAAATCTAAATAAGATTTTTTATAATATCTCTAAATATTAAAGACTCTTATTTATAATTAAAATATATAAAAAACTTAAGATATATCTAGATATTAAAGATTTATAACTTTTTAAGACATCTTTAATTAAATTAATATAATTTTAGATATTATAAAATATACTAATATTCTTATTTATTAAAAGATTTATTATAATTAATTTTCTATTTTTTATTAAATAGCTAGAGATTTTCTCTTAATTATAATTAATAATATTAATATTAAATATTTTTTTAATAATTTTTAAAATATCTATTATTATTATCAGAGCTATTTTTATTTTAATATAATTAAAATAATTATACTTTAAATATATATTAATTATTTTATTATAAATAAGCAATATCAGAATATATCTAATAATCTTAATCTAGATTTAATTATTTTTATATTTAAAAAGTAAGAGAAGAATAAGATAATTACTATCTTTTATATTAATAAAAATAAAAATATAAATAGTTTTAAAAATAATTCAGAGAATAAATTATTATTAAAATTTTAAAAACTAGTTTTATTTAAGTCTTTACTTATTATATATACTTAGATAAAGATAAAGATCTAATTTTTATAATTTTTATATTATTATAATTATTATTCTGAATAATATAAAAAATAAATATTTTATATTTCTTTTTTATTTTTTTTATACTAGATTCTATAAAAATCTTTTTCAGAGTATAATATATTTCTTAAAATAATTAATTAAATAAATTAAATATTAGACTATATCTAAAGAATATTATTATATTATAATTAAATATATATTATACTTTATATATTATTTATATAAAAAGAATATATATATTATAAATTAATCTATAGTTATTAATTCATCTATTATATTTAATTTTTCTAATTAATAAATATAAATAATTAAAGTAATAATTATATTTTAATCTGATTTTAATTATATAGTTAAAAACTTTTTATATCTTAATCTAACTGTCAGATTATAGCCAGATTAAGATTAAGATATAACAGTCAGATTAAGCCACTCTATCTTAGATTATTTTAGTAATATTATTAGAATATATATTAGAGTGGCTAACGGCCAGGTCAGGTCAGGTTAATTAGAATTTTTATATCTAATCGCCAGATTATAATCAGATTAAGAAAATTTTT